GTATATAATGAGCGGCGTGGCCAGCGTGGTGGACTCGGATGAAAGGCGCCTGACGCGTGGCTCTGGCTTCTGATTGGTCACAAAATCCTGTTATGTTGTACCAGTCTTTTACCTATTAGGGCTCGGGTATTCTACACCCCAACTAGCTGATAATCGCGTTCATCCGTGATGGCAACATGAAGATAGCGATCAATCAACTGAGCCGCATGAGCAAGAACCTCAGCGTCGGTGTTTCTCTGATCGCACAACTCTCGCAGGCAGTTAAGTAATGCTCTGCGCGTCAAGACGGCCTGCGCTAGGGTTTCGGTTTGGCAGTAAGCAGGAGGGGAATGATAACGTAGTTCATCCGAGAGCAAATCACGGATGATTGTCTTGTTGGCACTAAAGTATGCGTCCGTCGGAGGCTGAGGCACCGCAGATGGACCGTCATCAGCATCCCTATCAGCAGTGGGTTGGGCACTTTCCGAATCGCTCATTACGAGGCAGCAAACCTCAGAAACGCCGTACGACCTCTAAATCAGACCTGCCGGTGAAAACAGGCCAGCGGTGTTATCGGCCGAATACATCATGTAAAACAAACAATTACTTACATGTAAAATTTTCTTTTTTATTCATAGTGCGTGAATTGATAATGCATGTGTTTTGCTAGTAATTTTTTCAAGATGCACAGTTATAACTTAGAGTAATATTTAGCAAAAAATCAGAGAAATAGTTTGTACCCAAGGTTTGTGTGGAACAAATATATTTTGGCACTGACATCAAGCACACAGTCCACCAAAAGTCAAAATCGTCAAATACATGCTACAGTTACAATTCAGGAAGTAAGGAATCTTTTGTGATTCTGCGGGGTTGAGCAGAATGAAGCATTTAGATTTTGATGTGAAAGAGTTTAGAAGTTCATTTAGTGATACACTAACAATAATCAATGCTCAGGCAAAGTAGATACGGCTGAAAAAACGCCGCATATATTCGCTTTTTGTTGATCACTTTGATTATTTGTAGACGCCAAATTGTCACTGTTAACCTATGGCAACACGCAGCATAATAGAATGATTAATGGTCAGGATTTTTAAGATATTCAGGACGCTTGAGTTAGTCAGCGATCAGGAAACTGATAAAATATGTACTAACAATGTTGTAGATAATAAAATCACACAGTAGCCGGTTATTCAAATGCATGTAATGGAATGCGACAAAGTGTTGCGCTTTTC